TAAAAATTATTTGAAGGCAGTATTTCAATTTCTAGTATTTTCAGCTTTTATTTTTATTTTTTTATTCTGTCTTACTATGTCACCCTTGGTAGAGTAGTGCCATGGCATCTCTCACAGCAACCTCAAACTCCTGGGCTCAAGTGATTCTCTTGCCTCAGCCTCCCAAGTACCTGGGACTATAGGCACCTGCCATAAAGCCTGGCTATTTTTTTGTTGTACTTGTCATAGTTGTTTAGTAGGCCTGGGCCAGGTTTGAACCTGCCAGCCCCAGTGTATATGGCTGGCACCCTAACCACTGCTACGGGCACAGGCCTATTTTCAGACTTTAACAAGTTTCCTTTTGTTATTAATTGCTCACTTTATTGCCTAGTGATCAAAGATTATAGTCTATAATGTGTCATTCACAGTTGTGTTGTATTCTATCTGTACAGATTCTAGGGATATTTTAAAAGGATATGTGTATTGTTAAAATCTCCTTTCTTTTTTGGACTAAGGCTATGAGTTTCCTACTATTTTTTGCATTTTGCTTTATGTATTTTGATGGATGTATACTAGGCACTATTACATCTTTATATAAAATAAAAAGGAAAATCTTCAATCCAGTTAGTTTTTCCTTAAATTATATTATTTTCTGATATCAATGACTACTCCTGAATTATTTCTGTTGGCCGAGGACTTATCTTTCTCAGCAACTTTGCTGACCTTTTATCTTAGGCGAGGCTGCAGTAAAATGCACGAATATACTCCCCTCACACACACACATATGCGATTGTTTTTGATCCAAATTAAAAATCTAACTTTTAATAAGGAAGTTTAAGTCCATGTGGATTCTATTTTCCTTCTTCTTATTTTGTCTTTGTTTTTCTTGTGCCATCCTTTTCTTGTCTTTTATTGTGTATTGATCAAGTCTGGTTTTGTTTTCATTTTCTGAAAACTAAGCATGATGTGACTATACTTCCTATTTAAAAACTTTTACCTCCTAATGACTTTTCCCCCCACTTAACCAGATGTCACTTTCCACCATTCTAATGAAATGGCTCTAATGAGTCACCAGGACCTCAGATACCTAAATATAGGGGACACGTCTCAGCATTTACTATACTTCTTAGTGCCACTCCACACGATGGACAACCCCACCACCACCCTTACCCCACGACCCTATGATTTTCTGAGTTCTGTTCGTCTGTCTTTCTATTTCCTGAGCTACCTTTCTGCATCTTCTCCTCCTCCCCCTCTTCGGTTCTAGGCTCTAACTGCTTCTTTGCATTCTTACCCCAGGTGATCTCATCCATTTCTTTGGCTTCAATTATTACAGTATACAAGGTTAATCAAGTTCACAAACTTATCCTAGAACAAGTGTTACAAACCTCTTTGTTGAGTATCACTACAGTCACCTTTGAAGTACTCCCTTTGGGAAGCTGTGCACTGATGCTTGCATCTAGTCCACCCTTCAAAGCAATTTTGGAACTTTTTTCCTGGAATGGTCCTCAGAGCTGTTGTCATAGGAGGTCAGAAAAGTAAGTTTACAAACTCATCCTTGACAAGTGCTACCTACCTCATTGCTGAGTATCACTGCATTATCGAGGGGAGTGCTTTTTAAGTGACCATTATGATATTCAGCAATGAGATAGGTAGCACTTTTCTAGGATGTTTGCAAACTTAGTTGTCTAATCTCTTTATGACTATGACTTCCAAATCTCCAGTCCAGACCACTTCTTTGAGCTCTAAACTAATACACACAATCATTCTCTTGACAATTCCATGAGTTATCCGATAGGCACTTTTCAACCGCAACACATCCTGGGATGAACTCATGCCTCCCCCTTACGCCAGTCCTCTCCTCTTCCCTTTTCCTCCAGCTTCCTGCACTGCAGCACCATCCACAGTTGTGCAGGCCATAAGTCTGTCAGCCATTACTGGGCCTTTTAATTCTTTACCCATCACATTCTAACATCGCCAAGTCCAAATGATTCTCACGTCCACATATTTCTTGGAACTATTCATTTCTTTACACTTCCACTGCTGACCACCTGGGCCATTTGACATTATCTTTTTTTTTTTTTTTTTTTAGAGACAGAATCTCACTTTATTGCCCTCAATAGAGTGCTGTGGTGTCACAGCTCACAGCAACCTCCAACTCCTGGGCTTATGTGATTCTCTTGCCTCAGCCTCCTGAGTAGCTGAGACTATAGGCACCTGCCACAACACATGGCTATTTTTTGCTGCAGTTTGGCTGGGGCCGGGTTTGAACCCATCACCCTCGGTATATGGGGCCAGTGCCCTACCCATTGAGCCACGAGTGCTGCCCAATTTTGACATCATCTT